ACTAGGGTTTTCCCTCCTCTTCTCCTTTCAGCCTTGACACCTGAAACTTGACTCTGGGCGTGTCCTGAGGAAGTGTGTCAAGTCAGGAGGGGGATGCAGGGTGGGTCAGAGAGCAGGGGAGCACAGGCCTGGTAGCAGTGAGGACGGACACACATCAGGCTATGTGAGACTGTCCGCATGTGCTTGCCCTGGACGCTCATTTTTAATCATTGTCTGGATGAGCAGGAGTCAGTGACAAGCAGCACTGTGAAGTCCATGACCTCTAGGCCAAATCTAATGATGGCTTCATGGTCACTTCCTTGACAGTATTTTCCTCCCAGCCTGAGAAAGGAGGCTTCTGACTGCCTTCCTCTCTTTAGGCCCAGTGCAGGAATATGAGCTGCTGCTTCAGGTGTCCTATAAAGATTCCAAGGAGAAAAGAGACTTGAAGAATTTTCTGAAGCTTTTGAAGCCTCCATCATTATGGTTACATGGGCCAACGGAGATTATCAGAGCAAAGGCGACCACATGTAAGTCAGCTCTCTAGGGATTGGCAGTGGAAAGGGGAGAGGTGGGTGTATTAGTCAGGATAGGTCAGGTTATGCTGTGGAAACAACCATCCCTGCAATAGCTGTGGCTTAAAAGAATAAATGTTTTATTCCTTCTTCATGCTACATGTCCATTGCGGGTTGCAGAGGGATTGAGCTTGTGGTGGTCTCTTGGGGACCCAGGCTGACCTATCTCAAATGTACCCATTTTGAGCCCAAAAGACATGGAGCACTGGAGGGTTTGACATTGGTAGTTGAATTCTCTAACTCAGAAGTGACACACTAGTTCTGCTCATAATAGCTTTCATGGCCCCACCAACCTCAGCGGGCCAGGATATGCAGGCCTGAAAGAGAGCGAGAAATATTTGACAAGCAGTGCTAATGACCACAACAGTGGAGTTCAGAGAAGCTAAATGATTTGTCTAAAGCAAGGGTTCTTAAAGTGTGGTGCCCAGTCCAGCAGTAGCAGCAGCATCAGGGTTTCATCCTTCTAGCTTTTGGTGAGAAATACTTGGTTCACATTCTAAGTCAGAGCCAAGGATCAGAATTCATCTGTAATCAATTTATTAACCAGACCCCATGAAACCAAGCTCTGTTTTCTTGTGCAGACTGTGGCAGCCACAATGGGGTCCTACGGTGTGCCTGTGAAGACGGCTACACCTGGTTTCCTCCATCATGCCTTGATCCCCAGAAATGCTACTTTCACATGGCCGAATCCCTCCAGAGCTGTGACTGTCATCTCAACAACCTCTCCCAGAGTGTTAATTTCTGTGAGAGAACAAGTAAGCACAGGAGAATTCTAGGAGGGAAGCTCTGGGC